TTTCAAATTTATTTACTTACTTTGAAGTTGCTGTAATTTGATATAAAACACTATATTTTCATAATTCTAACATATAAACTTAAAGTTGGGATGTTATATTATTAACTTTGATTATTGGGGACAATTTAAAGGCTTTATTTTGATGATTTAAGAGGTTTTAAGGTAGTTTAGAATTGCTGTAAATTAATTTGCTTTGGTATTGATTTATTTCTAATTGTTTGGTTTAGGAGAGGACTTTGTAGAAGGCGACTTCTAGTTTTAAAGTGGCCAACCATATTGTTTACACAAGGTACGTACAAGCTACGAAACCTTGCTTGTAAGTGCATGTTTAAGGACGGATCGAGAACTTAGTATCATGTATAGGATTGACTGGGTTAAATTGTCTGGTTATACATTGTGAATTTCAAATGATGTGCACTAGTTTATAATGCAAGTATTATTTGTGCTCTAATTATGCAAGGTGTGCTTAGAGGTAAAGGTATGTGATTGGTGTAAAGTTTAAATTATTACTCATTCATGATTATGCAAACAGGATGAGTAAAGGAGAAATTCAAGTCTTGTAAGACGAGGTTAAGGTTTTGGGGTGCCTTATGCACTCAAGGTGTTTATACACCGAGGTAGTAAAGGAATAATTAATAAATGTTGTTTGTCACTAATAAATCAAGAATTTAAATTGAGAATTTGTCATGTTTGATTGAATTGTGTTTGGGATGTTTGTATTGTAATGTATATGAGTCATCACCAAGTCTAAACCTGTAAATCACGTAAAGTGCAAGATGGATGAGCAATAAAACTCTGGAATGGTGCACATCTGGAGTAATGACAATCAGGGGTTGGGGTACATGGGGTATTAGTCGTGTACTTTTATCGACGTCGTCTGATCTACGAGTCTCCTATTTCAAATATTAATTTTCTAAAACTAGGAGTTGGTGAGATCTCATACTAACTACGGTCACAGAGTTGCGCCCGTGGTCGTTGGATGTTTATTGATGTTTCCGAAAGGAGGCTTGGGGTTTTTCTTTTATTGATGTTCCAAATGGGACATGGGTTGGACAACCTTATCTATTGCTAAATCCAATGAAATAAGTAAATGAGTCAGTTAATATTAATTAGTGAGGTCTTAATAAATTTAATAATCGAGTCATGAATTGAGTTTATACTTTATGATGCTTGTGCTTGATTATTAGTAGCATGTTAGGTATTTTCTTAATTTATTTCGCAGCTTGTATGTACTCAGCTTTGCTGACTGCGTGCTTTTGTGTGTGTCTTTATTTGGTCATGGCCTTCTCTTTTCAATGACCCTGTGACGATCCAATTTTTACACTTGTAATATTGGGGAGCAGAATAACCACAGGTTCTTACACATGCAGCATTCATCAGGGTTGTGGGATCTTAAGTAGAGAGTTGGTTGTTTGCATTTTATTTCTTTTGCAAGTTTGAATTTATTTTAATTCGATTTTATTTGACACTATTTCTTTTGGGTTTGAATTTATTTGAACACTGGATTTAATCAATTACTACTTTTATTGGGTTTTGAATAAGGGCCTTAATGGTTCCAACTTATAATACTTATTTTGATTTAATTCCTTTGTTTTGAGGTTTATTTATAACTGTTTTGGTTTCCGCTGCTAATGTCTGAGATAGCCTTAACGTTTAAACACGTGGCGGTAGCACGCCAGTAATTCTCTTGAAATTGTTCAGGTTATATACAGGTTTCTCACAGGTTTTTAAGAGAGAATTATTGAGGTGTTACAAGTTGCGACTCGAAGACTAGATCCGACAAGGCCTCCTGTAACTGTAAAATGAACGGAGCTCCGGATGGTCAGAGGTCCGCCTCCGAAGATTAAGTTAGTACGGATTTGGAGTAAAACGTGCGGAAAGTAAGTATCTTCTCGGATTTCGAGATCAGTTGTTCTCTATTTTCTAGAGCAATAAATGTCCTAATGATTAAGACGTTGCCCCAATTTTTGGGGGAACTCCCTATTAATAGGGTCCTCAAAAAGTTTGCGCTGTCCTAGGGTTTGACAACCTAGGAATTAGGGCAGCGCCGTTTTGCGGCTAACTTGGTATTTGGGCCTTGAAGGCCGCCATTTCCCAAGAGCCTTATCTGCATGACACGTGTCAACATCCGGGAAGTCCATTTGAACGCCTCTTAGAGAGACACGTGTCACGTGCTCATTGGGCCACTTGAAGTGGTATTAATACCCAAATCAATGTTCACCCCTACCTATAAGGTTCATCCCGCACCATTTTAAGGTTTTATATTGTGAAGGAGTTTATCAAAGGTTATTTGTGAGAAAAAAAAATTTATAAACGAACATTTTTGACAAAAAAAAACTTTTATTTTTATAAAAAAAGAAGACAGTTATATAGAGAGCCAGTGAAGAGTCAATGAGCAAGAAAATATCTAATGATCAAGAAAAACCACCCTTGGGGAGTTAGGTGTGCACCCACATGTATATAAAAGGTTCAAAAGAATCATATCCCATAAACCTATTGGAAAATCTATGTTACTCTTTAAAGTGAACACCTTTTTTGGTTGGGTATTTTCCCTTTCCAAAAATACCCTTTAAAAATACTTATTTACTACAAAACTATAATCTTTTACAAAAATAGAAAAAAGAAAAAAAAAACTGCCAAGAATATCGTGATGAGAGATTTACAAAATTAAAAAAAATAAAAAGACCAAAAACAAATTATACTGCATAAGCACAAATACCAAGAAGTTTGATAAAAATATCTTTTTATTTTACCTTAATTATTTCAAATACATTGATAGGCGTGTCGCGTACCTAACAAAAATAAACCTAACTAGACCACTACTATGTAGACGGGCAAGCAAGGGTCGGATCCCAATAGACTATGGTTCAACTAGTCAAATAGACTCAAGCAATTACTAAACAAGTAACCAAACCAAATGAGTGAAAATCAATAACTAAAGAACGAATTAAAACGATTAAATCAAAACAATATGATAAATCAATGCTAAAAACATCCAAGATCAAACATCACCACAAATACAATTAATGCAATAGTCGTTCTACCCCTAACACATAATTCAATTGATTAAAGAGGAAAAGTAATCCATGAATAATACCAATGGTCTCTCCCGAGTTATCAGTGGCTTCTCTAATCACAATCAAGCCTACTTCTGTGGAATCATGTAAATTAAAGACCTTAAGCACATTACTCTAACTTCCTAATCATCCATTCAACTACTCCCGTGATGAACTTCAAACCCTTAATTGATTTATTCAAATTCGTCAAAACCCAACTCCTATTGCGATTAAAACAAAGGATTAATAATAATACCAATTATCCCTAATCTAGTATTGGCATAAGCATAATCAATTAAGCATATCAATTACAATTATTATTAGAGAATTTAAAGAATTAAATCATGCATTAATCATATCCGGGTTCTGCTAGATCTTGGAATAACAAAACTACTCACACATATTAACGAAAACAAAAACAATAATCAATGAAGAAAACATGATTAATAAGTAATTAAAAGTAAAACAAGAAATAAATATGAATACCAATTGCTTGAATGAAGAAAAGTACCAATTGTTGATGAACAAAGATCAAAACTTGAAAGTGCAAATTAATCTAGATCTAGAGAGAATATTAGGGTTCTAATGAAGGTTTAAAAGCTAGAAAATAATAACTAAGTATGTTTTAGTTGGGCTTTACAAAGGGTATTTATATCCTTTAATTAAGAAAACCCGGAAAATAAGAAAATGTGGTCATCGACACTCCGCCCGGTCTGACCGGGCAAGGTTGCCGGTCGGGCGCGCGAAGCAAAATTGAGCTTACGCCTTCAAGAATTCCTTCATATGTAGCGCTTTTGTCCGCCCGGTCTGCCAGGGCAATGCTGCCCGGTCGGGCGCGCAATACACACTCCACGGCTGACCTTCGAAGCTTGTAATCAATACAAATCTTCTCCGCCCCGGCTGCCAGGGCAATGTTGCCCTGCCAGGGCGATGAGAAGAAGATGCTTCGTAGTAATCTTCGTTTGTCTCTTCTCTTTCTTCCATCTTAACAAACTATCGTGACCATCCAAATTAGTCTCGTTCATCCTGAAATACATCAAAAACAACGAAACTACCCATAAAAGCACAACATGATCACAACCAAATCAAAACAAGCTAAAATAAGCTATGAACGATTAATCTAAGCTTGAAAACTACCTAAATGAACTCTAAAAACACGCTCTATATACGACTTATCATACATGATCAAAACCGTCGCAATCTCATCAAATTTGAGTGACTCAATTTCTCCTCTATCAATTATTAAATACATATTAGATAAATTTACATTTATTGTCTCCATATATCCGAAAAATAACAATGCAAATCTAAAATCAATTCAATTTCTTATTAAATGAAATGCTTACTGATGATTATTTTAATTCAAGTTTCCATCGATATGGGATTTATGTTGCACGTTTATAGTATATTTTTTTTTCCACTCTCTTTTGGTGTGTTTTTTTTTCCTCTTATTTCATTGAATAATTACAAGCAATAAAGTTTTTTACCAAGTCTTAAATTCGACAAATTTGTTGCATTTGATTATGAGTGGTGTATGTTTTCAATCATTCTTTAATATGGGGTATGCTTAATTATTAGTGTTTTTTTCTTAATTTCATTATGAGTACATAATTTCAATATGGAGTTATATATATATATATATATATACTACCTCCGTTACAGGTTATGTGCAACGATTAGACATTTTCCCTCTCTACTTTATGTCAAATCGTTGCACATAATCTGTGGCGGAAGTAGTATATATATATAATGTTGTAATGTTTAATGTATATAATTACTTACTTTTAACTATTGTTTTCCTATATATCTATTACTTATACAGGTCAAAATTATATGATCATTAATGACATCAATTTGCTCATTGGTATTTGTGACTTTTAATTAGGCAGGATGATCCACGACAGTCTTCGACTTAATCTCAACATTTCTACTTTTTTTTTTTTATTTTTTTTTTATGCATAATACAATTGGTATGTTGAAAATTACTGATTTAGACTCCAACAAAATATAAATTATATGAATTTGCCACCTTGAAAATTGTACACGCATTTTATTTGATATTAACTGCAAAATCTTTTATCATTGTGAAATTTCTACACTCTTGTTAGGCATATAAATCACCAAAGACGCCCTAATTCTTTGGCCGTCTTACCATAATCTACCTGAATAAGCAACCTTGACTATAAAATGATGTCAGCCATCTTCAGCTTGTGCAAAGTAAACCTACTACTAATCTTCTTACTTTCATATCTATATGAATGGTACCAATTTACAAGTTCTCAGTCAGATGGTCTCAACAGATCTAACTAACTAATGCACAAAACAGATCATCAAACCCACCGAACCGGCTTATTTTAGATCATGTGTCATCAACAAAATAAAACTACCAGCCATTTCTTCAACCTACCTAAACTAAATGACCTCAGACATCTACAATTATTGATATACTAATAATTAGTATAATTGACTGTTTCCTGCTACTGATCATCATTTGGACATTACAAGATATATTGATCAATGTAATACAGCTGAGACTAGTCCGCCAGAGCCGGTAACCATTCTGTATCTTCCCACTTCCATTCAATGAAGAATATGAGCAAACGGATTTTGTGTATCAAACTACCTGAAATTGAGCAGAGTTAATAGCCAGTAATAAGAATCGGAAATAATAGCGAATAAAATAATAGTGTGTGTGTGTGTGTCTGATGGTAAGATGTTTACTCATTGTTTTCTGCTAATGCATCAAAAGTCTTCAACCTTTTTGTTGAGCGCAATCTACATGTGACCTCTTCATCATCTTCTTCACTAAAATTCTGACCAGAGAATTCTACAAAGATCAAAGTGAAACAGAAAACTTCAATAAAAAAAATGAAATCACACTTTTCCAGGGTTCACTTGACTTGTATATTAAAGAGTAATGTTCAGTCAATCAATAACGTTAAAGAATTAGATAATATCTAGCAACAATGAGAATACTGGTAAAACCTAAGAAATGCTGCTTACAAACCTTCAAAGTAAAGTGAAGGCTTCCCAATTCAGCATTATATACACCAACAAGCAACCAACAACACAAGGAGGAAGAAGGGAAGAAAAACATGTATTCAAATGATCAGATCTCTCTCCATCTTATAGCTGGTCAGAAAACAGGGATAGTACACTCAACATCTTACTTTCATGCCATTTGACTCAGAGTGACAACTTCTCTCCTGGATATTTTTTTCAGTTTAATTTTGTTTATTGAATATAAATATTGTTCCTTCAATATTTCTGAACAATCTTATATACTCATTTACAACTTTCCTGGTCCCTAAGTTAACAATAAGTGCCATCAAACTTGAGTTGTGAATCACAATGTTTCAATTTAGTCCATGTGCTAAAACATTGTATATAACATTTTTATCCATCATCCGCTCAAGGCTTTTTACAAAAATACAATGATCACTAACTATAATTAGTATATATCACTTTACGATTTTGATAAATACATTAGTTTTCAAATCAGCACATAAGAAAATCAAGGCAGTAGCCACACAATGACATTAACGATTATACTTGAGAAAAATAATATCATACTCCATTCTAAAACAATAGGCTGTACTTCCTTTTTGTGATAAATATTTGTGAACCCTAACCTTTAGTTTCTGTAATAATATCAAGATAAAATCAAACATAAATATGTCTCACTCAAGATGTACTTCACAAATCATTTTGTACAGCAAATTTTAACAATCTTTTGGTTAAAAGTAGGCTTTTACCATAAAAGTCAAATGCAATATAGCCTCTACTGGACCAAACGAGCTATTGATTACTTCTGTGAATAGAATCATTAACATTCATGTAACAGTGATGAACTGTCAGTCATTTTATTTTGTGCTGTGGACTAATACATAAGCATGGGTAGCAAAAAGTCATGCTATAACAGCAATATATGCATATGCAATATTCCACCATGCAAATGGGTCTGTATCAAAAAGTAATTGGCATATGAAATATCCTACTTAAACATAAGCTAAAAGAACAAGACTCCTAAAACAGAGTAAAAGGTGTCAAAATTACCTTCACCGACACTTGAATCACCAATAGTTGGACATACAGGAAATCCGTCTGATATATTTGCTAATGTACATGTATATATTGCCCTTCCCTCGCAGTTAATGGGCTGATTATCAAATGAAGTGTCTCCCTGCATAATTTGATGGTCTCCGCTACTAAAATGCTTAATCCACTGATTTTGAAGGAGGCGACGACACTTTCTTGCTTCTTTTGGGGGAGGTTCACCCATTCCATATTTGATCCTCTGCAAGCAACCATGTTGAAAGATCGTAAACTAAGATTGGAAAAAAAAAAAAAAAAAAAAAAAAACCTAGTGGGACATAATGGACTAAAATTGAACTGCAAGAATTGTAGGGATAAGAGGATGCTGGCCCAACCCAAAACAAATAATGATAGGGTGATGGCACAAAAGAAAGGAAATATGTTCGTTTTTTACATGTACAGCAAATATAATCCAGTAATCATATATCGTTAACTACATATAATTCCTCATAGCAAGTGGCTGAACTCCATTTGGTCATGCATAGATGGTTACTAGAACTTGGTTCCTATAAAACCAATCCAAAAAACTCCAGTTGATAAACACCATGTATCTGAAATAATAGGAGCACATAACTTTGATTTTTAATGGCCTTGTACATTATGCAATACTGTAATATTTAATTCCCAATTAAGAGAATCGATAATTTTTTTTTTTTTTAAAAAAAAACAAAAACCTTGCATACCTTATCCTCTACATGAGATTTATTATGCTTGGAATATTTCATGGGTGAAGACTGCTTCATATGTGAGGTCAAACCACTTGAATTCAGTGATCTGTATAATTGTTGTACAAATGAGGCTTCAATAGACTTCAGATACATACTATGCTTTTCATCTGTCCATTCAGAGGACTTGGGTTCCTTTTCGAATAATTCCTGCAAAACATAATAGGTTTATATTTTAGAACTAGAACATGGCTATAGCTATACAGCAAAAATAAGTATATAAGCCTATCATTGGAAACAACCAAATTCCTTATCACTACACCCAAGCATCTATCGATTCAACTACCACAAACGATTTATCTACTATTGCACGAAGAAATTCGAGCTTGCAACCAAAGGCTCCTTATCACAACCTAAGGCTCCTCATCACAACCTCGAATTAAGGGTCCCTTTTCGTCAAGAATAAGAAACTTTTAGGAAAAACCTTCAGTCGTATCTTATAAAAATAAGGAAAATATTATACATAACCCTTAGGGCTACATACAAACATTAAATTTACACTTGAAAATCGTAAAAAGTTAAGAAATCATCAAAATATAAACACTAATAACACTGATTTACGCGTATTTTTGTCATGAATTCCTAATTTTATACAATTTCCAAGAGTACATTTATTGCTTATATATTTCTAAACCTTATCTTTTCTTTTTATTTTAAAGTTTTGTGAGGGAAAACCGGTAAAGAGTAAAATTTTGCTATGAGGTAACGCGAAGCTAAGATTTTGCTCAATCAATAATCAACTCATCATGGAAAATGAACATAATGATCCGCTCCGAAGACATAATGTTTACATTTGACTATTTAACAAAATGAGTTATTATAACTTCAAATTTCAGATTTTCTTCAAATAACATAATTAATTAAAAGTTCAGTAATCAAAAGCAAGGAAATCCAGTCCAAAATACATCAAAAACCTTAATACTCAAATAATAAGAGTCAACAACACTAGCAAAAACAATTCATTACAAATTTTTACTACTAATATATTTCAAGTATAAAAATCTTCAAAAATAAATAAATAAATAAAATCAACAGGTTAAGGTTTCATTTAACCATCAGATTGATCGATTAAACAGACTAATATATAAAATTCATCTAAAATAAAAATAAAATACAATCAAGTCACAAATAAATCCATAATATCACCGACAAATTACAGAAAATAAATACAAAAAAAAAAGATCCAAAAAATAGAAAAATCTGATTTCATCATTTGAGCTAATCCAAAGAAGAAGAAAAAAATAATTACCAAATAAAATTAAAAATCAGAGTCATGCAAAATAATTAAAAAACTAATAAATCAATAAGGTAAGAAAACTATATACCAAATTCAAAATTTCTTCTTGCTCAACACAATTAGAGAGATCACCTCCAGTAATTCCAGAAGATTGGGAGCTCGTGGAACCCTCCATAACTAAATCTACAACAAACAAAAACAATTTACAGAAAAAAAAAATTGGGAATCGTAAAAGATATTTTATACAAATTTGTCAAAAATATAATTATGATTCCCAAAATCTGGAAATTGAATTGTAGAAATTGGGAGAAAATAAGAATTTTTTTAATTTCTAAAATGGAAATGTAGAAACGTAGGTTTTGAATGGTTAAGATGAAGATGGAAAAGAGAAGAAAGAGGCGGTTTGTGGGACAAAAAGAGGAACCCAGTTGGCATCACTTTTTACACGTGTAAGATTGTTGTCACTTATATTACATGCCAGTTGTGTTTGTGTTTATCAGATATTTTTATTCGGACTAAAAATATCCTACGGATTTAATTCCTTTGCAAAATATCTTCACTTTTTTCATGGGGGAAGGAGATCCATATCATGATTTTTGTTTTTTATTTATTTAATACTATTTTGACATTTGATATTTTTTTTATGATATTTTATGAGATGTTTGAATTTTGATTTGGTATGATAATTTGGATGTTACTTTATTGAAAAATCTTGGGTCAATGTTTATCAATAAAAAAATGTCAAATTTTGAATTTGAATCAATATGGGAATCAATTAGTTTTGTGGGTAGCCAGTCACACTGTGTGGTCAGGTGTTACACTATATATGTGGGCACTAGACCTGACAATCCTGACCTAGAACCGATGATCCGACCCGAATGACCCGACCCATGACTCGAAATCGGCCCGAAACCAGTGACCCGAAATTGACCCAAACCCCGAATTAACCCGACCCGACCCAACCCGAAGTGGAACTGACCCGACATTGACCCGAAACCCGAAATGACCCAACCCGAAACGACCCGACCCGAGATGACCCGACCCAAAGTTGACCCGAGACCCGAAACGACCCGACCCGAAGTTGACCCGAAACAACCCGAAGTACTAAAAAAAAAAAGGTTAATAAAAGTCCAACAATTACTATAATCCATGAAAAAATAGCCTTAATAAATATAGTGAGTTTTTCGTCAAAAAATAAATAAATAAGTATATATACAGAGTTGAATTCAACCTAATGAATCACCCGAATATGACTTGACTAGAAGTTGACCCGACCCGAAGTTGACCCGAAAAATTGGACCCGAAAATTGACCTGACCCGACCCAAACTTGACCCGACCCGAACTCGACCCGAAATGTTGACCCGACACCCGACCCGACCCGATTATTGGCCGACCCGAAATCAACCCGAAATGACCCGACCCGAACTTGACCCGATAATCTTTTGACCCGAACTTGACCCGACCCATACCCGACCCGAATGACCCATTTGCCAGGTTTAGTGGGCACCTATTAAAAAAACTAAGGGTCTGTTCTCATTGACTGAACTCAGCTGAACTGAAGTGAGCTGAGCTGAACTGAACTGAACCGGGCTGAACTGAACTGAACCGAACTAGGCTGAACTGAGCTGAAGTGAAATGAATATGTTATAAGAGAAGGAAATTAGGAGTTGGACTGAACTGGACTAAACTGAACTGAACTGAACTGAGCTGAACTGAACTGAACTGAACTGAGCTGAACTGAACTGAATTGAACTAAATTTCAACATAAGAGAACAGGCCCTAAGTAACTCGTATAACATTGACCAAGTAATCCCAGTAATATTGACCGCGTAATCCCAGTAATCCTAATCGAGTAACCCCTTAACCCCTAATACACTAACGAAATAACCCCTGTAATAGTTGGCCACACTAAGGAAAAATTCTCATCCTCACTTCCTCTCTTCTAGTTTTTTTTTTTTTTTTTTTATAGGGATCTTCTAGGCTTTTCTAGTTTTGGCCATTTAGTACGGAAATATTCTAATTTCTTCGAAAATTATACTATTTTCAACCATTTTCCCTTAATTTTCTTTAGTTTTGCTTTTTATGTTTCAATAAATCTACACAAGTAATGTAGATGTTAATCTGTCTCCCTGTGGTGAAGTGTCTTGTAGGGTATTAAGTGGTAAAAGATGCAATTTCACAATTCATATTCGTTCGCACCTAAACAGGATGTACAAGCATAACATGTAAAGGAGTCACATAATACATACCTTTGACGCGTAATTTCCACAAGCGATTGACCACGAACAATTAAGAGAATAAGAGCCCCAAGTGTTGCTCCTTTACTTAGTCCACGGGATAGGATTGAACCTCCACTACTGATAGGTTTACGGGCACAAACATTTCGAACTATATTCTATGGATATGGGAGGAGAAAACCGAGCCACGAACACCACTACACCACCACCGTGCACTACCTTGCACCGGGTGGCCGTATGGTCATACAGACGTGAGGAAAGAGATTGCGTGAGGCTAAATATTGGTTGCTCACTTGCCAATTCTCAAATGACTAGTTAAGTGTTATATCTTAAACCATAGGCAATGCCTCTATTTATACAAGAGTAAACTACACACTCACTCCCCTTCACTCCCTAAACTTACAAAATTTGCAAGTTACTCACTCATCCGATCATCAGAGCTAAAATATCCGGCGGTGTTTTGGGTAATTTTACCCATGCCACGTGGGCAAATCATATTCTGACACGTGTCATACCATGGTTGGTCTGAATTGGACCAACCTCCATTCGACACGGGTCCTTACTACAACTTGGGAGAAAAGGCGGCCTTCAAGGGCCCAAATCCTGAGAAAGCCGTAATTCAACACATCCCAGTATAATTAGGTTAGAGTGACCTAATCAGGGGCACATTTTCCAACAACCATATAAATAGGGAGATTTCCCCCATTTTTAGGGCATCTAAAATTTATTACAGCATACCCTATATTCTCTTACATCAAAGAATCACCTGATCTCGAAATCCGAGAAGATCTCACCTCTTTTTCCGCATCTTCTCCTGTTTATACTCAAATACTAACTTAATCGTCGGAGGCGGATCACCACCAACCGAAGTCTCCATGATTTTGCAGGTACAGGCCGCGTGTAACCAATCTCTAAGATGTAACTCTCCCGAGGTATAAAAACACCCAAAATATTTGGCGTCGTCTGTGGGGAGGGTACCTCAAGGATGGTTCAAGAGTTTGTACCGCCTTCTGACCACACGGTTAATCAGCCGGAGGTCTTTACTGACCATGAGGATGATGATCCTCAGGTTGAAATGTACATAGCCAAAGATGGCTTTCTAATCACCAAATGCCTTTCCCAGAGACACTCTTGAGCGGGGTGCAAGCCAGGCGGGTACAACCAGGCCCCCTGGTCAGCCGGAAGGGGAAACCCAAACGGAAAATGGATCCGCCCTAGTCACCCGGGACAAAATCATAAAATTCATGACTAGTTTCAAGGGTGAAATCAAGGATCTGATCACTAAGAGCAGGGCTGGCCCAAGCAAGGGTCAGTCGGCAAGGAAGACCCCTTAGTAGAGGAGGAAGCCAGTCAAGGACAGGCAGCCAACCCCGCATCCAAAAGATAATGCAGCCGGGACCCTTGACTGGTCCAAGATTCTCCCCAGAAGAATCCATGAAATCCCCGTCGGGAGGAACAGCCGGTGGGTAACAAAAAATCTACTCCTGATGCTCGGCAATTCATTGAGCGCAAGAGGAGTCAGCAGCTGTCTGAGTCAGCCTCTACCTCGAGCTTTCCAGACTACTTCAAGAATACATTTGTAGGGAATATTCAATCCTTGCATGAGAGCCATACAGGCAGAAATACCATCCATTCTTGCCCTCAGATGATTGGGAATGCGCCGTATGTACCTATAGTCTACGGTCAATATTCTCCTCACTTCATGCAGCCGGCCCTCTTTGGAGGTCAGGCGGCATATAATGAACAACCTTTGGACTGGAAGTTGCGTCTGCTCAAACTTGGTGAACAAACTTCTGCATTCACCAAGGAGATAACCAAGGCCGCACAGCCGGCCAAAGGTAAAGAATGTGGTACCACCAACCCGGAGGACCACTTCATGGCCTAGTCCAACCTCGCAGGGGCTGGAGGATGATATTGACGAGGGTTGAAGCTAGGTCGTTGAAACTAACCCCTACCCAAGGCCAAACAAAATTTGTAATCTCTCAACACACCCTTATACAAGTATAGTGGTAAGTCGAGGGTCGAACCACTAAGGAATGGAGAATGATCTTATATTGCCAAGTCAAGCTATTCCGGAAAGGTTAAGTAAGGGTGTGAATGCTAAACAACTAGTCAAGCTAAATTTGGACAAATGTAATGAACACTAGGGCTCGGGATCCACATATACTTGTAACGGTTTCCGCTAATTGTGAAAGAATTAACTAAGTCGAGTGATGCGAGGGAAAACAAATCATGCAACCAAAAGAGCATATCAAGCTATTTTCCTAGAGGTCTAACTAGCGTCAACTACGATAAACTCTAGCTAAGAACGTCACAAGACACCTCAATCGTTAAATGCAATCCACAAATCAATGGTCCGTATCAATGTGAACCTACAATGCAATCTAGTGTGAATAACTAGGGTGATCAAGCCTAAATCAAACACACACATGCACATAATCAATTAACCAATTTAATCACATCATCAACTCCATCAATTTCCCCAAATTAACATCAATCCATTACTCATACATGCTTCACCATTACCCTAGCAAGCAAACTAATCACTAGCCATTGAAATTAAGATCAAAGCAAGGCTAAACAACAAATTCTGCATGATCAAATTAAACAAGCTAAAATCAAATCACAAATCAATCAAACTTGAACTTTCAACAAAACAATTGAAATTAAACTAAAGATCAAACTAAAGATTTAATTAAAGAAAAGGAATCCTTACAAACTGACAGGGTAAAGTCGTATCCCCAAATCAAAAATTAATTCCTAAATCCTCTAACTAATGTAGATAGGGAAGTAGGGTCGAATCCACAGAGAAACGAGTCTTTCTATTCCTAATTAAATAAAGTAATCTAAATTATAAAGTAACCAATATGTAAGTTTGGATGTGAAACTAAACTACGGAGATTAAGAATAAGGAGAAAACAATGAATAAAAGGATCTAGGGCATAGGTTCACCAATAAATAATATTCCAGGGTAAAATATAGTAATCATTCATCAATGCATACATTAATCAGATCATAAAGGGCTTTCGCTACGTATTACAATCACACAATTAATTTACCGGTATTAAATCTCATCTCTCGAATCTTGACTTAACCATTTATAAATTAACCTGCCTATTGAAACTAGACCTAAATATCAATTCTCATCTCTCGAATCTCGAATCAATATTGTCAAACTCATGCATAAAAGATCAGGCCTAATCTAGTCACAG